ATGGTAATACAGTGTAAAATAAATTTTTAAAATGTGGCAATCTTTTGTGTGCGTCTTTTTAAAATAAAAAGTAATTTGGTCACAGACATTATTGTTGTCACATACCGGTAGATGGTTGTGCAAATTAAATCTATTTGATGACTCAGCTCGTTAGATCAACACTACTTTACAAGGGACTAAAAACTACTATACAAAGTAAGCGATACCAAAGCTTATGGTATTAGCAAAATTCATTGTTTAAAATTCTATTCCATTTAGATGAAAATAAAAAAAATCTTATGTACAAAAACAAAAGCTATATTATCAGCAAATGATTAAGTATATCAATCGAAAGATACAAAGAATATCAGCAAATGATTAGGTAAAATAATAGAAAAATATCAATAATTCAATCGATTAAGTATTTTACGCCTCGTAAATGTATATGAAATTTAGCAGAAATTTCTCCCGGCAAGGAAAGCAGTCGGCTTATTCATAGGATGGGAGCTATAAAAGAAATTATAGAAATTGCATCACTCGATTTTCTAGAACAAATTGAATGTTAATAAACAAACAATGGCTTTTAAATATATCATGGACAATGGTTATTTTTGACTATTTAAAATCTGATTTTTAAAAAATTGCATCCTTGAATTATAAAAAGTCTCACAATGAAAAAGTTCTATAATTTTTTCTTGAGATCTCGTTGTCAGTGAGTGAGTTGTATTTTGGTTTCATGCACATAGATGTAAGAGTTGTGATTTGTCTTACACTATATATGATGGATGATAACAGTGTCATTCATACAACCACCATGTACCATTATTAAATACAACAACGCTTGATTAAATTAAATTAATTAATTAGAATTAGATCTTATTTAAGATATAAAATGTTTAGTTCTAATACATTGTAGTCCGTAGAGACGCAATATAAGATAAGATTATTTTATGGATCCAAAAAAATGGAAATGTTTTTTGATTGCATTATACATTTTCAGCTAAAAAATACAACAATTTGAACACAAGACATTTACAATCGATTATCTCCAACAGCCATTCAGTGAGTTCTCATAGCTAAATCGGGGACTTATTAGTTCTCATAAAGATTTGGGACTTCAGAGAAAGCACGCCGGTAAATTCGTACAGATTGGGGAATATAAGAATTTTTATATCTTTGAGTCCTCGCCCTGATGGAGAGAATTCGTCCCTAAGGGCCCGATCTTAAGTATTTGTGATGAAGAGGGAGGAATGTATCATCCAAAATGTGTTGAGTTTTACAAAAACATCTTTCTTCAAATAGTTCTTCAAGTGAAGGGTGTTTAGTTTGTGTTATGTTCCTAGCTTTCTTGATTAGTCGGTTTATGCGGTGTTTAATATCAGACGTTGAATTCCCACATCAGCAGGTAATATTGAAATTAAGCAGGCTTCCAATAGTTGCACTGTAGAATAAGTTAACGAATTGCTTGTTTACGCCAAAATTGTACAGTTTTTTGAGGTAGAACAGTCTTTGGTTGAATTTCTTATACAGGATTTGGCCGTGCTCATGCCATGTTAGCTTATTATTAATGGTGACAACTAAGTACTTGTACGCCTCCACTTTCTCTACACTTTGATTTTTTATGTTAAGATCTGTAATCTGGCGTTTCCCCTCCTGAAATCAAAAACCACTTGTTTTGTTTTTTAGACATTCAGCTGGAGAACATTTTCATCGCACCAATTGATTAAGCTTGTAACTAAATCGAGGTACAGACCTCTCCTTTATATATTAAGCCAACAATGATGGTATCATCAGCAAATTTTAAGATTGGAACGGTTTCGCTTGAGCTTTGAATATCATTAGTATATATTGTATACAGTACAGGGGAGAGAACGCAGCCTGGTGATGCCCCGGTGCTTATTTCTCTGGTTAATTGAGAGATAATTGGTTATTTACTTTGACATATCTAACGTGCCTGGCATCGGGTAGGCCACACTTGGCAAAAGATATGCACCGTGCCTGGCAGTGGGTCGGTCACACTTGGCAAAAGATATGCAACGCAGAAAAAAATATGCTGAATAAAGTTTTTTTTATGCAATGTTAATTATCAGGTTTTCATATTTTTTATTCGTTAATTCATGATTAAATATTTACCGAAATTGTAGGAAGTTCAGAGATTTTAAAAAGTTTTTTCACGTTATTGATTGTTTTCATTTTGTTTAAATGAGTTGCTAGCTTTTCACCTGTAATAGGTTCGCCCATTATAATCGTACATTTCGCATCTATCTGGTCTCCGAAAGCCAAATCCATTTCTGAAACCTCTGCCCTGACACATGTCAGGACAGGTTTATATTAATTTTTTAGGCCAATAAAAAATAAGTGTAAACCATTTGTATTCTACCGGCTGACAGCTTGTGCAGTAATAATGATTTTGAAAAACACACTTAAGTGTATATATAACGGTATATGACAAACGGTATGTTTTTAAATTGACTGACTGGCTTGCCGAATGAGAACCACAGGGCTTAGCAGCAAGAGGGTTAGTAGCATGGGGCTAATAGCATGGGACTCAGTCGCATAGGGGTAGGTAACCTGGGGGCAAGTAACATGGGCGTTAGTAGCCTGGGGGTTAGTAGCATGGGGATCGTAGCATGGGGGTTAGTAGCCTGGGAGGGGGGCTAGTAGCCTGGGGGGCTAGTAGCCTGAGGGCTAGTAGCATGGGCTTTAGTGACATGGGGGTTAAAAGATGAGGGGTAGTAGCATGGATGGGGCTAGTTACATAAGGGTTAATACATGAGGGTTAATAGACTGGGGGCTAGTGACATGGGGGCTAGTACCATGGTGGCTAGTCAAGTATTACCCATGGAACTTCAATAAAATTAGGAAGCTAAAATGTTGTGTCTATTATGAGGATTAACACATCGGTGATCATAAACAAGGCACAAATGATGTCACTTTTTAAAATGCATTCAAACGGCGTGAGGTTCATGGCAGACATCTTCCTGTAGTAGCATTAAGACGTGAGAACCCCTCATGTGCGGGCAGTTCATATATAAAAAAATGTCTATTATTAATACTGAGTTGAGTGAGAGGCACGCACGCAACACTTTAATAATATAATACCCAGTGCCTGTGCTTAGGATTATATTCTTAAATCAATTTAAATCTTCAAAAATATCCCTTATATTCAAACATTGACATCCCAATCAATCGCCTCTTCATTATGAATCATTCTAAACTCTTTGGTATGTGATAACATATTCAGGGTAACACTGGCTCTTGTCATACACGACAAATTCTCGGAACAGCCATTTGCCATCAGCCATGATGGAGTCGTAGAGCTTCTGGTTTGGGCAGAGACACTTGTCTTTGTGACATTGCATACATGGAGGTCTGGTCAACTTCTTGGATGCTGTGAAAAAGGATAAAAAATGCAAACCATTTATAACTAACAGCTTGATGTAACATGTACATAGGTCTTTATGGAGTCAAAATAAAGATAAAACCGAGATCATGCCATGAGATAGTATACCCAGACCAACTCGAGAAACATATTACTGGGTTTCTCAGGGCTTGAGTTTGAATATCTGTGAGGCATTTTCGAGGAGGACGTTGAAATGCACAGGGGGTGGGGGGGGGGTAGAGAGAAGTCCACTATGGAGAGAGACAAGTCATCCAGGGGGATAGAGACAATCAACCAGGTAGATAGAGGTAAGTCCACTAGGTAGATAGAGTTAAGTCCACCAGGTAGATAGAGACAAGTGCATGAACTTCAGCATGTCTCACACCTTGCGGCAAATCCCCACCTATTCTTCACCTCGACGCCTCACCGGTTGAAGTGGACAAAAGAAGATTAAAATGTGTCGTACAATTTGAAGTGTAGCTTATACTCAATTCACACGATCAATTCTTCATCAAATTTACGTCAAATTTATTTTTGAACGCACCATTTAGTAAAATAAAACAGTGGGTTTATTAAGAAATTTGACGAAAATGTGATCGTGTGAAATAGACTTAAACGTCAAAAAACTTAATGTCTATAATTGTTTTTCCATCTTTAAGATGCCGTAGTTAAAATGATGATACCGGATGGGAAAACCCCATCACGCAGCGAAGTGCCGAAATAAAATAGTGTAGTCATCAACGGAATTTCCATAAAAGTGTGTTAATATTATTGATTGGTGTATAATTTTCTACATACTTCGGTTGAACTCATGGGCATTAAATTCTCAAATGGTTTAAAATTTGAATTAAAAAATATTGTGTTACAATAAGAAGTGAGGGCTCTACCCAATAACTCATTATATATTAATAAGTCATTGCACAGTTTTTCGTATAAGTTCTTTGTAAAATCTACTATCTAGCAATAGGGTCTGAAAATTTGACAAAAGTAACGCACTTTATAAGAATCCCTATTAGTGCCCAACCCCCAGACCTTCCCCAGGCCCCCCTCCCCCAGTCTTGTAGCCGCACATATTCTTCACACCCTTGAACTACTCTAATATTGTAAAGACACACACGCTTTTACAACGCAGATTGATTTTACTTATGGTTTCAGAAAAAAAAAGAAGTAAATATTACACACCAAACGCACTTGTAATATTAAAAAAAAGACCCATTTAGCGCAGTTATTTTATTTCGTGAAATCACTGTAATCATATTTGCTTCATGTTTCCCTTGAAAAACAGTAACAACTGATTTTCGGTGGTTCGGACGATTGGTCTGAAAATTTGACCTTGGTCTGAAAATTTGACCGAATGGGGTGTCATCCGCAACAACTCTTTGAGCCACGTTTCAGCTCGATAGGTTGACGGGAAGTGGTTCAGTTAGCCGTTAGAAGATTTATTTCCACCCAGCTACGAAAAAAAGTGAAGTTAATATAAAGGATAGAAAAACAGTGTGCATCCGTAGCCAACGTGACACTGTCTTCTTTGTCCCGAAGAGTGGGGACATTATTGTTATGGCAAACTCTGATGAATGCCCGACACCTAAGTCTTTTTGGAGTAGGCAGATATATGAGAACATTTCAAAGGGATGAACAAAACGCTGTACTTACAATGAAGTGATGAATGAGAATCATCACAGACGAAGATGTCTCCAAGGAGAAGTCTGGCTAGAATCAAAATCTTCTTGTCTGATCTGTTAAACCCACATTGTCTGTCATCTGAGATGCAAAAATAGTTTTGTAGAATTTTAAACGGATAAACACTGTCGTCATTGGTATCTAGAAATTGTTGGTGTTACTTTTATTTTTTAAATAGACAGGATGCAATTGGGAAAGACTTTAAACCTTAGACATGCTGAAGTGGATGGCCTTGAAATGACACGGCATATATCGGTGTGTTGCTATAGTTTAATTCCTCTAATGCCATACACTATGTTCACATTATCTGTGTGCTGGTCAGACTAACCTGTGTACTAGTCAGACTAACCTGTGTACTAGTCAGACTAACCTGTGTACTGGTCAGACTAACCTGTGTACTAGTCAGACTAACCTGTGTACTAGTCAGACTAACCTGTGTACTAGTCAGACTAAACTGTGTACTGGTCAGACTAACCTGTGTACTAGTCGGACTAACCTGTGTACTAGTCAGACTAACCTGTGTATTAGTCAGACTAACCTGTGTACTGGTCAGACTAACCTTAAATATGGTCAGACTCACTTGTGTATTGTTCTAACTTACATGTGCAATGGTCAGACTTACCTGTGCACTGATCAGACTTACTTGTGTACTGGTCAGACTTATATGTGTACTAGTCAGACTTAATGTGCACTATTCAGAATAACCCGTGTACTGGTCACACCTACCTGTGTACTGGTCAGACTTGGTTGGATTCTCGGCAGCATACACACCAGATCCCCACATGCAAACGGACGAGGCGACCCTGGGGTCAAGGCCAGTGTTGATGATTGCAGGAACCGCCTCCTGCTTAGTTCCATGGAACATGTAGTGCTCATTCACTTCATGGTACAGCTCTCTTTTCATGAACCCTTCAATTTTCTCTGTCGTCAACACACCACCTTTAGAACCTCTGAGCTGCTCAACTGGAGTACAGACCCTCTCCTCTGCTGACTTTCTTTCAAACATCTGTCTCCTCCTCGCACTATATGCGTTAAACAAGAAATGATTCTCAACTCTTTTCACGTCGGTCACTCTGATATTTGAATGACTCAAGCCCCGGGCGTCTCGTCCATTCCCTACGAGGTGTGAGCTCCAGGTATCATTCACCAGTTTTTCTATTGCTGATTTGGTTCTTCGTCCCACGGTTTTCAGAACAGGTTCAGTAGACTTGGACTGACTATCGACTCCATGAAATTTTCCGAATCGCCAGTACGTTGGCAGTGAGATGGGACATTCTGCTGCAAATTTCAGGAAATCGACCGTGCCTCTAGTGGGAGCACACGATAATTCAAGCGAAGGTTTAGACAACGACTTATGGACAAAGTTCATCATTTCAAAGACGTCATGAGGCTTGCCCATTACAACAAGACCAGAAGATTCTTTCTTTAAAATCAACTGACTCCTCTGCGCCTCTTTCTCTAAGTGTCTTATAAACTTTGGTGAAATATCGTCTGTGTCGTATTTGAAATAATCTTTATAAAGAAATTGGATTTCCAGTTCGGATTTCAGCAGCTGCCAAAAATATCCTCCAATGTCTTGAGTTCTTGGCCAGGTAGGGGCTCTAGCATGATTAACTTTGCTAGAGTCGAAAATGAATCTTACCTTGGCTTGCTTAGAGTGCCTACTGTTCCATTTCCATGAAGCTGACTCAAAGGGCTTTGAATCGATGTCAAAACTAACAAGACAATTGTTCTCTTTTCCAAACAGCGTGACAGTTTCCTGAAACTCACCAGAGTTGATTCCATTTATAACAAGCCGGAATTCTTGTTTCTCTAAAAACTCAGATTGCAAGTCCACAGTGTAGCTCTTTATCCTTGACCTCAGGGCCTCTAAAATCAAACTGACCAGCTTGATGTTTTTGTTTTTTCCTTCAAAATTGTACAAAATATGATCTTTACTCTCAAGCCTCTTCGTCACCTTAACCTTTTTAAGAACTCGGTTAATATGAAATGGGGAGGCTTCAAGAAAAAATAGAACCTCTGGACCCTGGAGACAAAATGATTTCTTTCCGTGTTTTCTTGGATATCGTCCGGCCCCAAATTTTCTCTGGCCCAAAATGGTGTCTCCTTTATGCAAACAGGTGATTTGATCGCCTTTATCATTCTCCCTGAATACCGGCAAGGTTTTACCTCGCCTCGTGAACAGCACAACTGCTGGCAGACACGAGAGTATAACAACTTCATCATCATTCCTTGGATCTGAGTCAGGAGTCGTGTTGGCGACTCCACAGACAGGTGTTTCCCCTGGAATCTTCATCAAAATTTTGTGCCTCTTTGATTTATGGCTTGAAAAATATGTCATAGTTTTAAATAGCCGCTTTCTCTTTGAGCTTTGTTGCAGATTTTTCATCTTTGGTAAAGATGGAACACGACTTGGACTAGACAGTGCGCTACTTTTAGAAGTAAAAATATTAGTTTCACATTTACTAGAGCTTTCTTTCTTTTCACCATGCACTTTGTTTTTCTTCCGTTTAAAAAATAATTTTAATTTTTTTTTCCTGCTCGAATTCCCGCCCCTTTTCGATGACGTTATTTTCTTTTTGTTATCATCACATTCACTTGTTCTATCACTTTCACTCCCAGAAACCGTGTGCAATTCTTCAAGAAATTGAAACGCCTCAATTTTGTCACCGCCACATGCTGTGTTAATGTTCTCATCAACATGTGATCTTTGCTCTTGGTAACTTACGTCATCTGCAGTGCTGGAACTAACTGCATCTCTTAGAACATACTCTTGCTCTTGCTCCCATCTGTTGTGTTCTGATTGGCCTTCTATGCCTGGTCTTTTGTAGAATACACTGCCAGCAGCGTGGAACATACCATTGTATTCCTCATCTCTACTGTTTCCAGAGACATTGTCGTCACTATTGATATACGTCGCACAATCACCACCAACATCACCATCATCATCACCATCAACATCATCATCAACATCGCCATCAACATCGCTATCAACATCACCCTCAACATCACCTTCAATATCACCATCAAGATCGCCATCGTTGAAGTTCGCCTCACCGCATTCTGCATCTAGGACATCACCATTTCTATAGAGTCTGTGGTCACTCTGGCTATCTGATGCCACACCACTGTGATCAGGATCCCAGACGTCATCTTCGCTGTTGCTCTCTTCATCATCGCTGTCATCGACATCGTCTTCCTCGTTGGTCAGGGACTCGCCATCCGTATCATGGAAGATCATATCACCTCCACTGTTGGAGGCCTCGTCACCATTCTCACTGTTAGTTTCTTCACCACCAACAACATCAACATCACCGTCATCTATGCAACACGTCACCTCATTATCAGCACTGCTCGACGTCGGGTCGCCATCACTACTCCAATCATCTTCATCACCATTTCTGTGGCTCTCAACCGAGTTCCGGTTGTGCACGTCATCACTTAGGTCCAACGAGTCATCCATGATAACACTGAGATTTCATGAGTTGTCTCCTTACTGCACTTCAAGAAAACATCTCAGCCTGCTTGTCTATTTTTGGAATAACTATTCTTATATTTTCGAGCAAAGAGTTATCTGTGCTTTTAATTTTGGGTTTCTTTCTTGGTGAATAAGGTCAAGTTTTATTTTGATAAACTTGTTAATTTGTCAAGCTTGAGATAAACATGTGCTTCGTAATATAAAGACTTTACAAATATGGAAATCTGAAACAGAAAAGAAATCATTCACTATAAAAATCATCTTAGTGTACTTACAATTCAATCCTGTGATAACGAAAAGATATACCCTGAATACTTTGTTTAAAAGGAAATAAATATGGACAAGACAAATTATAGTTTTGTTAATTTTATTAAGTGCTGTGTTAATGGGGGAAAATAGCATGTGTCAAAAGTTAAATTTACACCGTTACGAAGTCGCATATAATATGATCGCTTATGTAATTATTCGGTTAACCAAAAGTAAAACCAAATATTTGATGTCATTATTTAACGAACATTTAAGCATCCATCACTAGTTTGTAGATAAATACGATGAATATAAAAAAAAAAAAACACTGGTTGATTTTTGAGATTCAGCTGCGAGAAAGACATATTAATGTATTATTATAATCGAAGGCATTGTCTGGGGAACGAAAATGAAACCAGACATAAGAAAGTCCAACAGAGATTAGAGTAAAACTAACCAACAATTTGTACAACTAAAAGCGTACACACCCGACATACGATGCGTACACATAAACACAAGAAGTGTACACAACTAACATACGGTGTGTGCCCCTTAACGGTTAGGTATTAACGCGACCAGCGTTCGGCCTACACAACTGAGACACGGATGAAATGTTCAGTTCAAACATAATGTATCACGCCATGCATAAAAGATTTAACAGCTTATCACCCTTGAGTTGTCACATAAATATGAACCGTTATTATAAAACATTCCCAAGTGCTCACAAGACAGTTGACCTAAAAACACGAATAGCAGCATGAAATCTCGTCCCGACACACTGCTGTCAACAGCTCTGGTTTGTTGTACACTGTGCCACCAGCAACTATAGTTCACTCTATTTCTGAATGATTCATATGCCATCGACACAGACACTTTAAAACTAATGATCTCGTGCTACAGTTACTAAGAATCCAGAAGCTGTTTGCGGGAAATAAATGATATTTTTCTATTTTTAGAATCACGTGCTTATCGGTGGAAATTCCAGACAAACGGCAAAACCCGTTGGATCCATCCTTTTTAGTTTCAGTTTCGCCAGACTCTGGTAGTAATGATTCACGTTCAACTTTACGACATTATAAAGGATAAATCGGCCAGCACGAGAAATATGAGGGCAGAAACGTTGAGCGCTCACTGCGATGGTCTGGATGTAACAGCGGACGTCACTCGCTGACCTACTGAAACTCTCCCCCCCCCCCCTCAGAGGGCCGGCGGGATAGATTTGCATTATCGGGGGTTTTACAAATTAGAACGTAGTTTTTGTTTACTTAAGGCGAACTGGCCTCTACATGAGTTACATGCACACATTTGTCATTGAATTCATGATTATGCTAAACACCTGAGGTATGTATCAGACTTTTAGCTTGCTACCCCACATCTACGTCACTCATTTCCCCATCACCATCTATTGTATGTTAGTTCGTTATTGTGACGCTGTCAATGTTTACGCAATAACACCACATAGCACCGCCCCTTTTTTCCTTAAGCTGTCAACACTTCAATAACTTGAAATGACGTAAGCAACTCTGCAATTGTTTTTGTCAGCAATGCCAAAGACGATATCTCATAAGTTTCTCCATGTTTGAAATATTAGAAAGTCACATGCCAGCAAAATAGCTGGTTGGAGAGGAAGGTAACATCAGTCATAATCTGGCAAGTCTTATTTAAATTTATGTGTACTGTGACGTCACCAGAAATATAAGAAAACAAATCTCAACAATCTGGACAAGTTTAGACCCCCCCC